ACAGTTTTTGACACTCTGCATTAATATCATTAATTATCAAATCCAAGTTCTGATTTGATCTACCCTTCAAGCGACGTTGTTTTTATCTGTCTTAATTGAGTAATTTTTTGTTCCGCTTGCACATTATTTATCTACACACAAAATAAATAAATAAATAAAACATATTTATTTAGTTTCAAAAGTAAATGAATTCAAAAATAAAAAATAAAAAATCATAATTTCTACAATTTTTCATAAATTTGACAGAATTATTTTGTATTCACATACCTTCTTACTCTTTTAACCTTTTGTAGTCTTATAGATTAATGATATTGAATCTCCCATTGAATTTCCCCTAATAAGTTAGCGTAATGCTCGAGATTAAAGATAATATAATGAGTGCAAAATTGAAAACTAGAATTCCAAAATAAAAAATAAAAAAAATCATAATTTCTACGATTTTCCATAAATTTGACAGAATTATTCTATATTCACGTACTTTCTTACTCTTCTAACCTTTTGTAGTCTTACAAATTAATGATGTTGAATCTCTCCTCGAATTTCTCCTTCTAAGTTAGCGTAGCGAAATTGAAAACTATACGGAATATTAATAAAATATATGTATATGTAATTATATATATATATAATGATTGACTCTTAATAACAAAAATATACGGAAAAGAGGTTAGGATAATTATATATATATATAGAATTAAATAATTATATAGAATGTGATTGATAAATTGATTTGATTATTTATAATTTAAAAAGATTTATGAGATATTATTTGATGAGTTTGTTATTATTTTAAAAATAAAATAAAATTTTGAATTTATCAAAAAAAAAGTAAAATCATTTAAAAATTAAAAAAAATTTCAAAATGATGAGAGTGCACCAATTGAAGTGTCTTGTGCTATATATATATATATAAATATATGATACTAGTGTGTAATCCGTTCTATGCACGAGTTATTTTTATATTAAATTAGTATTTTAATTTAATATTAATTTATAAATAATATTTATAGTTTTATATACTCCCTCCGTCCCGTTGGAAGGATGGTATTTTCTTTTTGCACGTAGATTTGTGAATATTAATATTATATTGGATTGTAGTAAAAAAGACAAAAATACTCTTATTAGTATGGTATAATATAAAAGTAATGACATTTGTGTAATATATTGTAAATTGAAAGGGTATTTATTATGTTAAGTAGGTAGTACAATTACTAAATTAGTAAATGGTAACTTTGTTTTGGGACGGACGAAAATGGAAAATGGTAACCTTTCAATTGGACGGATGGAGTATAATATACACTACAAAAATATAGTATATTTGTAACGGAATTTCGTTCCTAAAGTTCACGTAGCTAACGTAATTTTATCTCTAATTCCGTCTCTAATATCATTAGTAACGGAAAAAGTGAATTTAGGAACGAAAAAATCTCGTTACAAAATTGATAATTTCTTGTAGTGATATTACTCAAATCAAATTAATTTAAAAAATAACATACACATTAAAAATAAAATATAATTTAATAAAAAATAGAATAATGAAATAGATAATTAAAAAATATATATATACAACAAAAATAGAATTACTATAATTAAAATAAAAATTTTATATTTTAAAAGTTATCGTAATTTTCTGTATGAATTTTCTAAATATTTTTTTAAATTAAAAACCCCAAAATTTAAACATAATATATAAAATTAAAAGATTTATTAAAATATTATACTAAAAACCAAATTAATTTTTAAAAAATGTATATACAATAAGAATGAAAAAATTAAATAATAAAAATAATAATAAATAATTTAAAATACATACATTGATTAGTAGAAATAAAAAGAAAAAAATGTATATAACAATAAAAATTAGACAAAAATTTTTATTGTTAAAATTCATTACATATAAAATTAGAAAAAAAACAATCCTTTTGGAAGAACACGATGAACGATAAAATATTAAAAAAATATAATATTAAAAAATAAAATCTATTACAATCAAATTGTATATAAGAATTCTCAAGAATGCATGTAAATACATTATAGTCACTGCTATATCAACTAATAAAAATAACAAATTTAGGAAAAAATAAGATCAAGAAAACGAACAAAAGAAATCTACCACGTTTTATAAAATTATGGTTGAACTACAAACATATGATCGAAAATCCACCGTGGATTAAAAAAACAACGATCATGAACGCTGAATGAAAATTTCTACTTGATCAGACCAGGCCCGTTCTTGACTTTTATTAGGCCCGGGGCAAAATTAGAATATTGGGCCCTTAAATATATTTCTTATATTATAATAATAATAATAATAATAATAATAATAATAATAATAATAATAATAATAATATATATATATTTTTTAATATAAATGTATTAATAAAATATTTTTTATATATTAAAAGATCAAAATATAAATATAAAATTAATATGACATATTTAGTATAATATAAAAAATTAAAAAAATATATTTGATTTAATATTTTTTAAAGAATATTTTTATAAACAATCAAAATCATAGGTTTTTAAAAGAAAATTTTCAAACAAAAATATTTATTAAGGGTTTGTTTCTTTTGATTGGTTTAGGGAAAAATTTAGTTTGAATTTGATATTAAGATAATGTTTGATGAAATGTTTGTGAGAGAGAAAGGCATAGTCCTAATAGTAAAAATTAGAAAGTTTAGATTAAATAAACAAACTCAATGTTTATATAATACACAAAATTTTAAAACTACTACTAAAAAATATAATAAAATATACAAATTTAAACATATAAATATAAAAATAAAAATAATAAAAACACAAAAATATTACTCTATCATATCTTTTTAATTTTACATAATTTACAAAAAATATAAAATCATACCATTAAATAAACACACTAAAACATACAAATAAATAATTTAAAAATTAATGTAAAAATTATTTATTTTTATACATTCTACAAAAAAATAATAATAATAATAATAATAATAATAATAATATTAATATATAGGAGCATATATATATATTATTGGGCCCTAGAGGTAATGGGCCCTGGCCCAGGGCCGGGCCTAGATCAGACAGTTACCAAAGCTATATTTTTTGTATTCTTTTTCTGATCTTGGTATTCTTCTCATAATCATTATTTTTTGTTTGTTTTCTTAATTAAAGAATAAAAGAAAATATATTAGTAAATAAAAAGAATACGTTTTTTAAAATAAAAACAAAATTTTGAAAATCAAATAATTTATAAAATTAAAAGTAAGTATATATAGATAAACAAAACCCTAATTTTATCCATATTTTTGTTACTTAATATGTCAATAAATCTGAATTTTGTTAGATTATTTATTATTATAACAAATTTTAATTAATTATCCAAACTTATTATTTAAAAAATAAAATAAAACTCCAAAATTACGTGAACACACGAATTAAAACGCCTTGTCAAATATATATATATAATATGATATATGATATGATATGATATATGATATGATACTAAAGTTTAATTTTACATTTAAAATATTATATCAATACCGTTGGACATAGGTCCAAAAGAACCTAAACGTGAAGGAGGCTCAAAGACAAAAGTGGGACCAGAGATCCTTGGCCACGGAGCCGCCGAACAAGTTTGAATCAAGTGGAACCCGGTCCAGAGGCAATGAAAATGGTTGGGAGCTGATAGAAGGAGGTTACCAGGTGGTTGATGGAAGGAGGTTGCCAGATGGCTGATGGAATGAGGTTTACTAGGTGGTTGACGGAAGGAGGTTACCAGGTGGTTTGGAGATAATGGAAGGAGGTTACCAGGCGGTTGAGAGTGGTGGAGGAATAATTGGAACTGCCACTTTTAGTGGGAAGAGACGGTTATTCTATCTTAGGATTAAAACTAAGAAAAAAACACATCACACACACACACAAGAAGATGAACTCGCATTTTTCTCTATTTTCTTTAATGCTCTAATTTCGTTTTATGCACTTTAGTTTTAATTAAATGCTTTTATGCTTCTTGCAATTTATTTTATCCACTTTCCAGTAGATTTATCCGAGTTTTAGTAGATGTTTGTTTAAATCCATCGAAATCGGTCGTTTAGGCTCGAAGCCTCGTTTAAGATCGAAGTCGTGCAAGCTCCATCGCAGGAGCCGCCCAAATCCCACTATGGACATGCTTTTTGGATTACTTTCGGAACCCAAACCGACAAATCGACGAACGATCTTCGAACCTTCGAATTTTAGGATCCAACAATTTGCACGCCCAGTGGGACCAAAGTCGAATTTTTTAAAGAGTGATGTCGAGGTTGACATGGGGTTCATTTGTACCACCTGAAGAAAGCTATTGAATTGTTGCAAAACATCCAATGCTTCAGGCCTTAAGGCCGGGGTAGACAAAATCATACTGGAACCAATAGGGTTGGAACCACTAATCTGCGGAAGGCTGGTTCCAACAGCCTGCGGATGGCTGGAACCAACAACCTGCAGGAAGCTGGAAGCAACAGCCTGCGGATAGCTTGAGCCAACAGCCTGCAGAGCGATGGAACCAGCAGCCTGCAGAGGGCTGGAACCACCAGTTTGCGAAAGGCTGGAACCAACAGACTGCGGATGGCTGGAGTCAACAACCTGTGAAAGACTGGCGACAGCCTGCGGAGCGCTGGAGCTAACAGGCTGCAGAGGGCTGGAACCCCGTGGCCGTTGGAGTTTTGAAGAGCAATGCTGAGCCTCTACGATGGGCAAGCAAATTTCCAACATTTGGCATGATCCCACAAGGGCGATTAAGTGAACAACCTATGTGGAATACGTCAACACCACTATAAGGATGTCACAGTCTAAACGTGGCTAATCTCTAATGGAAGATGATCATCGAAACACACGGGCAAGGAGTGCAGACCGCAGAGATACAGCCGCCAACCTTCCATCAGCAGACAGCTGGAGTGTAGCCGTTGACACTAAATCAACAGGAGGCCAAGCCTCTGATAAACGTTAATGTCATCGCAGATTGCATAAGGAGGGCATTTTCAAAAAGAATGTTTGAAAAGAAGCCTAGTGCCACTTTTAGCGCGGAAAATTCACCTCCATACGAAAAAAAAGTTATAAGGGCAGAGACTTCAGAGGCTGTGGAGGCTCCAGTCGAAAAGAAGTCTGGGGAGGCAGAGGTTCCAGTCGAAAAGGAGCCTGCGGAGGCAGAGGTTCTAATCGAAAAGGAGCCTGCGGAGTCAGAAGTTCCAGAAGCCATGGAAGCTCTAGAGCTTGTGGAGGCAGAGACTCCAAAGGCTGTGGAGGCTCCACTTGAAAAGGAGTCTGCGGAGTCAGAGGTTCCAGAAGCCATGAAAGCTCTAGAGCTTGTGGAGGCAGAGACTCCAGAGGCTGTGGAGGCTCCAGTTGAAAAGAAGTCTGCGGAGGCAGAGGTTCCAGAAGTTATGGAAGCTCCAGAGCTTGTGGAAGCAGAGATTCCAGAGCTTGTGGAGGCAGAGACTCCAGAGGTTGTGGAGGCTTCAGTCGAAAAGGAGTCTGCGGAGGCAGAAGTGCCAAAAGCCATGGAAGCTCCAAAATTTGTGGAGGCAGAGACTTCAAGGACGGTGGAGACTCCTAATGAAAAGAAGGATGTAAGAGCAGAGGCTCCATATGAAAAGGACTCTGTAGAGGATTGGAGAAGAGGAAAGTATACAAAGGACCCAAACCGAGGCTATCGTAGCAGAAGTAAAAGTCACAAATGAGAAACGGATTTGGAGTGTTACCACAGTTGACCAGATCACTATCATTCCCAAGGAAACACGGAAGCCTCCTATCGTGAAAGAGAACGAAAAATGAATTGTGAATGAGCCAAAACTTTCCACAAGGTTGGCAATAAGGGGACTCACCAAGACTCAAAAGAGGCGAGCTCAAAGAAGAAAGTTGGAGACTCGTATGGAGGAGGGATGGTCACATGAGCTGTCTCCTAAAGAAAAACAGATGGAAGAGTTGCTTCCAAAAAAGAAGCAAACTATGGAGCCACTTCCAGAAAGAAATCAGGCTGCAGAGCTGCCAAGGAAGCAGGCCATGGAGCCGCTAAAGAAGCAGGCTGTGGAGCTGCTTTCAGAGAGAATAGGCTATGAAGCCACTTCAAGAAAAGAAACAGGCTATGGAGCCGCTTCCAGAAAGAAAACAGGCTGCAGAGCCGCCAAGGAAGCAGGCTGTGGAGCCGCTTTCAGAGAGAAAGGAAGTTGTGGAGCCGTTTCAAGAAAGGAAGCAGGTTGTGGAACAGCTTCCAGAAATAAAGCAGGCCATGGAGCCGCCAATGAAGCAAGTTGTGGAGCCGCTTTTAGAGAGGAAGCAGGCTGTGGAGCCACTTTTCAGAAAGAAAGCATGTTTTGGAGCCGCTTTCAGAGAGAAAGCAGACTGTTGAGCTGCTGTCAGAAAAGAAGCAATATGTGGAACCGCTAAGGAAGCAGGTTCCGCTTCAAGAAAGAAAGCATGTTATGGAACCACTAAGGAAGCAAGTTGTGGAGCCTCTTTCAGAAAGAAAAAAGGTTGTAGAGCCACTTCCAAAGAGAAAGCAGGCTGCGAAGCCGCTAAGGAACCAAGTTGTGGAGTCTTTTCCAAAAATGAAGCAAGTGGAGGAGCTTCCGGAAGAATTCAAAGCTCCGGAAGAATTTCAAGAGTTAGAGGAAGTTGTTGTTGACGAGGAGCCTATCTTCGAATGGAATGATGTGGCAACCATGATAGAATTTAAGAGGCTCGGGCCTGGTCAAAACCAACATGTCAAGCCTTTGCACATTCGGGTCTCGATTAATGGCTTTCCGCTTGACCAAGTTCTGGTGGACAGTGGAGCTTCTGTGAATGTGTTGCCAATTGAGACCCTACGGAAGTTCGGAAAGACTAATAACGATTTGATTTCTACATTTGTACGGCTTACCAATTTTATAAGGAATTCTTACAAACCAGCAGATATAATCACTTTGAGTGTGCAAGTGAGGGACAAAGGAAATATCATCAACTTTCATAGTGATCGATAGTAGGCCATTCTATTCGGCTCTCTTAGGACAGAATTGGATTCATGCATGCGAGTGTGTGCCTTCAAAACTTCATCAAACATTGATGTTTTGGGATGGAAATGAAGTCCAAGAAGTGAAGGCCGAGGAGGATCCCTTGTCGACAGAAGTGACCACAGTTGATTCAAGCGGACGGCTCAAAGTAAAAGGACATGGGCTCAATGGAAACGATCGCCCAGCCCTTTTGAGGAGGGCATTGTTGGACATGGGTCCAAAAGAACCTGAACGTGAAGAAGGCTCAAAGACAAAACTGGGGCTAGAGCTCCTTGGCCACGGAGCCGCTGAACAGCAATGGAACTTCATGCCTTGGAGCCAAAGACTGTTGCCTCCATAGAGCCGAAGGCAACAACTTCCATTGGATTGTGGTGCTTCCACAGGGTCGAAAGCAGCAACCTCCATGGACCTTAGGGTAACAACTCCTCGGACTATGGCGCCTCCATCCCGGAACAATGTTTCCATAAGGTCAGAAATTGTTGTCCCCATTGGGTTAAAAACAACTACTTCCATTGAACTGCGATGCTTCTATAAAGTAGAGGAAGGTTGCCTCCACAAGATAGAAAGCAACAGCTTCCACAGATCATTGAATAACTACCTCTATTGGCCCTGGGTTAATAATTTTGTACTGAACATTAGTGGAGGGTTTATGAACTTCCATACTTTATTCAAAAAGCTCCATAGAACAAGTCAACAAGAGAAAAACCGAAAATTCTATGTAACTTGAGGCTGTTGGAGACACATCCCCGTGGACCGGCTAGGAGTACGACGGAAACAAGTCGGAGTAAGCGACAGATCTGGTCTAGAGGCAGTGGAAGAAGTTTGGAGCAAGTGGAACCCGGTCCAGAGGCAATGGAACGGTTGGGAGCTGATAGAAGGAGGTTACCAGGTGGTTGATGGAAGGAGGTTGCTAGGTGGTTGATGGAATGAGGTTACCAGGTGGTTGACGGAAAGAGGTTATCATGTGGTTGGGAGATGATGGAAGGAGGTTACCAGGCGGCGGTTGAGAGTGGTGGAGGAATAATTGGAACTGCCCATTTTAGTGAGAAGAGATGGTTATTCTATCTTATGATTAAAATTAGGAAAAAACACATCACACATACGCACAAGACGATACTCATATTTTTCTCTATTTTATTTCCATGTTCTAGTTTCGGGTTTATGCACTTTAGTTTAAATTAAATGCTTTTATGCTCTTTGCAATTTATTTTATCCGTTTTGCAGTAGATTTATCCGAATTTTAGTAGATGTTAGTTTAAATTCATCGAAATCGGTCGTTTATGCTCGAAGCCTTGTTTAAGATCGAAACCGTGCAGGCTCCATTGCAGAGGCCGCCCCAAATCCGACAACGGACAGACTTTTTGGAGTATTTCAGGAACCCACACCGACAAATCGACGAACGGTCTTGAAACCTCCAAATTTTAGGATCCAACAAATAAATATTCATATAAAATCAAACAACGTTTTCAATTCAAAATCAAATTCAAAATCAAAATTCCACAAATAAGCACGCTCAACTATTCAAATTCAAACTTTTACTATTTAAAATTCCAAAAAATTTAAAAAAAAATCAAATCCATAAACAAATACACCTTAACCATGACTTTGTTTTATCAAACCCTTTTAGATAAAGCGGTGAGACATCATGTGTTGGGTGAAATTTCCTTCAGGAGTGTGAGTGTGTGTGAAAATATATATATATATATATTTTAAAAAAGGGAGACTTGGACTAAAATCCCTGTCAGTGTATTTTGCTTGCAATTCAGTCCCCATTGTAAATTAATTGATCTGCAGTCCCTACTTTATTGATTAGATATGTTATAACTCCCTTATTGTATTTTCTACTCAATCACAATTGTATATGCAACATGTACTTACGATTGATTAATAAATACTCCCAATTTTATAATATATACCTACATTACCTCCCGCTCTACCCCCAGTATACGATTAGATAATTCCATTTAAATACTGCGTACCTTATTTTGTGATTTTTTTTTAAAAAAAAAATCACAGAAAATATGCACGATTTAAAAACTGAAACATTCCCTAACTCCCCTCACTCACTCTCCGTTCAAGCCCTAGTTCTTCGAGAAGGAAATCGTCCCTCGCGAACTCGACGATCAGCAGTAAGACATTTTGTTCAGCGAAATGGTGAGAAAAACCGCGAATCCGCCGCGATCCCCCACGAGGAGTTCAAAAAAGTAAGTGTCTGGTCGAAACCCTTTTCATTTTATGATTTTGTTGACAATCGAATTTTATATCGTAGTTTACTCGATTGTTTGGGGTAGAAGCCTTGGTCCCGTGTTTGTATGCCTCGGTTTAGTGATGAGGAGCCCTGGGTGTTCGGTGTTGTGTTAGTTCAACGGGTGGTTTGAAATTGTTCGAATTTTTGGCCAGGAAACCCGGTTCGGCCGATTTTGGGTGATTTTATCTGTTTTTATCTTTGATTTTGTTAATTTTGGAGATGTATATTTTGTTTAGTTACTCGAAGTTGCATATTTTAGGTTTTTTGGTGGATTGTTCGGTAAATAGTCATATTTGTGGGTTGATAAATGCGGTAATATTAGGCACCAGGAGTTTCATTTGTTTGGTCTAATTTGCCAATTAATATACCTGAACGGCACTGTTGTATACTCGGAATGCGTTTTTACTCCTGCTAAATTGTGAAAAACTTTTAACTAAATTAGAGATTTGGGTAACGTGGACTTATGGTTTTTACTTACAGGCCAGGCAAGGAGCACAAATCGGTGATCAGCCGATTTGCATTACCTTTTTTTCATAATGAGCTGGCCAAACTGAAGCAACACATGAGAGACCAACACATCGCAGCTATAAACATGACACCATTCGGGCATTTTCTGGATTGCCCGAAAATGAAGTTTCCATGGCACCGACTTGTTGCCCTCGTCAATAGCTTCAGTTCGGAATCTATGTCCTTCAAGATTGGAAGTGACATTGAGCTTCCGTTTGAAGTTGAAGAATATTCTGTAGTCTTAGGACTACACGCGAAAGGAGTCTACATGACCGAAAATACATCGGTCGAAAGCGAATGGTTTGTTCGAATTTTTGGGAGCAAGCCACGTTCTGTAACCCGCGGGCAGGTGTTGCAGAAGCTGCGTGAGGCTCTGTTGCAGGGGCTGGAGCCTCTTTCTGTTGCGGATGTTGCTCGTCTTTTTATTATGTTTGTTTTTGCAAATATTTTATTTTGTTCTGCGAATTATTCTGTACCCCTTTTTTTGTTACCGTATGTGGAAGATCTGAGTGCGATTGGTGACTACGCGTGGGGACCCGCGAGTCACCGTTATCTGTTGAAGTCTATAAGCGACTTCAAGTCCGGGAAAAAATATTTGACAGGCTGCACCGCGGGTTTGTTGGTAAGCAATGTAATATCGGATTTGTTAATTTTTTCTACTTATTTTGGTATATTGCACAATATGTATTATTGTTGGCAGTAATGTCTATTACAATATGTGCAGGCCTGGTTCAATGAGAGGGTCCCAACTCTGGACAAGGCACGGTGCCTTCCGAAGGTACCGCGTCTCTTTCGGTGGCTGAATAGCCTCGGTCCAATGTCCAGGGTTCATGCAGTTGATGAACTGACTTCCGTAAAGCGGTCCGATGTTCAGGAATTCTATCGGATAGGCACGGAAGAAAAGTTCGTTCGTGCAATTTGTCATGCTTCAGAGGTAAATGCATTATTCAATGTTGCTACCGTTGTAAATGGATAAAATAATTTCTTATATGACATTATTAACATATGTTGCAGGAAGCAGCGCAGCAAATTGCGGCTTTGAAGGTGGAGCTGCGGAAGAAAGACACTGCAATTGCCAGACTTGCTCATAAATTACAAAGATCTAGAGCCGGTGTTGTCGATGACGACAGTGAAGGTGAGGGTGAGGACGAGAGCGATGGCGAGGAGGGTGATGCAAACTATGGGGATGAAGAGACAGCAGACCGGATGGCTGTGGAGTCTGAGAGGAAAGAGAAGCAGGCCGACATGGAGGAGAAGCAAGGTCAGGAGGAGGAGAGTCAGGGTGAAGAGGAGGAGGAGGAGGAGAAGGAGGAAAAAACTGGGGAGGAGGAGAGGCAGACTGAGGAGGATCCCGAGGAGGCAGCGGAAGAGCAAGCGAATACCGAGCGCCGAAGCAAAAAAAAATGGACATCCTTTTGGCCGAAGTTGATCCGATAAACGAGTCAGATGACGAAGGGGTTGGTAGCCTGCTAGAGTTTAACCAATTGATGGCCATTGTTCCTTATGTTGCACCGATAGATGTCAAGGTAAGCTAATTAATATAGTAAGTACAATTTGTAGGTCGTAGTTGTCTATCTGTTGAATGATTATTTGCTTTGTTGAAATTGTAGCAGGGCGATGACTCCGACCGTGAGACTTGTAGCAGGGCCGCAGATTCATCGATTGTACGTGGTGTAATGGCACGTAAGGATCGGAAGAGAAAGAAGAAGCCTGAATTCGTGACACCTGTGTCGACACCGCGAATTGAGAAAGCGAGAAAAACACGGAGGGCGAAAGGAAAGTCAGCGGTCGACGTCAATAATGAGCAGGTACGTAGTTCCATACAAATATAAGTCGTCTGGCTCAAAATACTTCAGATAGATTCTTAAATACCTAGTGTTTCTGCGTTAATACCTGTACAATAAATACAGATACCTACGGAAACATGATTATCTTCATTGTTGGTTCAGGAACCATTTGTCGTCGGCGACGATGGGGACTCGGATGCTAAGGTTGTAGCAGACCCTGGAGCACAAAAGTGGGAGGGATATCGCAATAATGACAGCTACTGTGGAAAGGGTTCCTTATCTGAGGATGAGACGAACACCATTGAACATTTTCTCGCGTCATTCGCTGTCCGGTATTGCTATTCACTATTAAGGCTTTATATATTTTTCTCAATCGATGTTTTTATCCGTTTGCGACTATCATGTTGTAGGGACACTGTATGGTAGCAGGGCGTCGTGTCTGTCTCGTCCGATGCCGTTTTAGAACTACTGTTTGACGAAGCTGTGAAAGGCGAAGTCATCGACGCGTACCTATATCATCTATGCAGCAATGAATATCAGCTCCAACACAATCCGCAGGTGCGGTGTGGTTGTGTGCCATGGTTCGTAGCGGTGAGTATCCTGTTTGGAATTTATACGGTTAGTATTACAAATCACATTGTTATTATTGCGTTGGTTGCTGTGTTCGATTTTCAGAAAGCCGTGAACGACGCGCTATCACGACCAAGCAGGGGAGCGAAAAAGCCGAGCATCAATAAGGGTAATGTACTCGCGTTTGCCAACTCGCTGCAAGTGACCGTAGGCCAAGAGATTGCCGGAATCATGGACAAAATCCGGTCTGGGTGCCGGTACATATTTCTACCCGTACACACCCGGTTCCACTGGCATCTCTGCATACTGGATACCGTCAAACGTGTTGTGTTGGAGTGTAACTCAATGCGCGACCCCTTCGGCCAGGGGAATGCAAAGAAATTGGTACGTCTTTCGAATGATCATAATTAATTGCCTATGGGTAGGGTGAATTCCTTAACGAAAGAGTAACGTTATTTGTGCAGACGCGATTTTTATCGTTGTATATGAACGCGTCACGACTATGGCCTATGGTCAGCGACATGCCCGAGTACATTAGATGCCGACACCAGGGTGAAACGTTGGACTGTGGACCTTTAGTCTGCATGTTCGCAGAGTGTTATGCGCGGGCAGGTCCAGATGTCAATCTCGTTGGTGTCCTCGGCGAGGACTTCGGCGATGTCAAGAGCTACCGAGGCACGATTGCGGCGAGGATATTGAAAGGTCCCCCCTTCTGAAACGTAGACCCCGATGGAAAAATAGGGCAGGTTAACACATGTAATGAATTTGGATTGATTTGGGAAGTTTTTGCGTTGTGTGGCGAGGTGATGGATTTGTTGAATGTCTTCAGTTTGGATTGATCTGGGAAGTTATTGTGTTGTGTGGAGGTGATGGATTTGTTTAATGTCTTCAATTTGGATTGACCTGGGAAGTTATTGCATTGTGTATCGAGGTGATGGAATTGGTAAATGTCTTTTACGTAGATTGATTTGTCATCTTCATTATATACCTGCGTTGTGTGGTGATACCCGTTGATAGCTTTTATGTGCCTACGGAAAACTAGTATGTACTTCCATTTATATATTACATGCTCCAGTCATTTGCGTTTGTGGGACTGGTCATTTCTTTTGCACTGATCACTGAAATAGCGTTCACTTTGAATCAGTTCAACCGTGTCGGCGTTTCTCATAAAACCCTACTGGACGCCATGTCTTAATCGACCGGAGATACTGCAAGGGCTTACTCGTTAATTTAAAACAAACAATACTAAAAAAACTTGATCATATTACAACAAAATATTTGTGCGGGACATAGGTGTCTGGTAATTGCGTGTGGGCCAACGTCTAGATTACAATCAACTATTTCCTGCGGAATGCTAAGCAACACGTGGTTACAGAGAAGTGCTACTATACCTACAACTAGGATACCTACAACTACAACACAGATGCCCGCATACGCAATCTGTGTACCTCGTTCAGCGAGTCTGGTACTTAGCTCGGATGCATAAGTAACGGAGTCATTATTACAAATACCCTATAGTATCTATTATGTACCTACGGAAATAGCCTTTATACTTCCGTTACCATTTCAAATGCTCTGGTACCCTACGGGTGGGGACTCGGCCTTTTCTCTTAAAATATTCATGAACTGATGGTAAGAGTGTATTGGCTTAACCATGGTAGTGTTGCTCGTCAACCCCATAATCTTGAATGGCGTGTTTTAGGCCACAGATTATACTTACATCGCTTACCCGTTAATTGAATTAGAACACAATAGAATAGACACGATAATATAACCGCAATATAGTTGTGTGGCATATGGAAGTCTGGTACGTAGCTGTGTGCTGAATTTTAATCAATGCTACGCCTCCAAGTTATTACACGGTAATACAATTAGAATACTGTATAAACAAAATAAAATATCGTTTGTACTCGGACCGCAACCCTATATGTTGGAATCATTATTCATATACCCTCTGTAAGCTATTGCGTACTTACAACAACCGTGACATTATACTTCAGTTGCAATTATGTATGCCCTGGTTACCTGTGGCTGGGGAAACGGTCTTTTTTTTTTCTTCTTCAAATAGCATGTATTTACTGCTGATGGTTAAAGAAGGCATCAACAAATACTTAAGTTGTATGACACATGCACTTGGTTAGTATGACGAGTGTAATACAACAACTATACCTCCTAGTAATAACCCAAAAATAGGATAGCATGTACTTTCAAAACAATTAGAGATTACATTAACCATCCGTCCCTACAGAGCTACATCATCAAATGCCTCAGTACATGAAAAATATACCTGCAGAATATAACTATGAACCTTCACAACTTCATCATATACCTGCGTGAGAGGGCTACATACCACTTACTACTGCAAATAAGTCGATGGATCCAACCGGTTACATCCTAGAGACACAAAAAACAATTACAATATAGCTATTGAATATGTACCTACTGTCTTAATATATACTCCTGGAAGCCAAAAAGATGTACAATGAAAAAAAGGTTCGCTAAGCTATTTGTTGCTTGCAACTTCTTCTATTATGTCCAAGACGCCCACAACGACCACATTTCCGTGCATTCTTTACCTGCTGGGACTCGAACCTTCGCTTCTTTGGCCGGCCTGGTTGGACAGACGACGGAGGAGGGTGAATTTGGTCCGCCTGAATTTCAACAATCACGTCCATATCATGCGTCGGTACGGGATTTATTGGCTCCTGGTACGTTTTTCTGTAAGATTCAATGCTATAATAAAGATCGCAAAAATCATAAATTGACATACTGCATTTTTCAATGCAAGCGCAGGCATGCTTGCAGGGCAATCGGAACATTTGCCATTCTCGACAAGAGCATTTGCGCGCCTCCAAATTGACTGCGTATCTTTCATTACAATCTGTTACCTCGAATACAGTTCTAGAGGATGAACTGCACTGTAGCCGTCGAGACGCCATGTACGATAGTGCCAACTTGCTCTCCTGTTTTGGACAGAGCCTTCCGTGCATTATCTCCGACTTTTCGCGGCGTTCATTCATCATTACCATCACTTGCCTTCTAATGGTATCCAACATCCCAACGAATGGCATTGACCTCGCGGATCTCACCCAACTATTCCATGACTCAGCAATGTTATTATTTATTATTCCCCAACGAGTGCCTCTGAATAGTGAATTTGCCCAACATTCTGGGTGTGATTGGGTAATGAAGTCCCTGGCCAATGGCATTGATTCGACCACAGAACTAATGTGGTTTTCGAAATCTCTCCTCAACGGAGCATAGGCGGCCTTATTGAAGACAGCGGTCCATCGTTTCTTATTATGCATTGGGTATCTCCGCATAACCTAAAAAAAAGACATTTTATGGCTGATCATAACCAGTGATGTTCATTACAGATTAATATTGACGTACATATACCTGGGTACGGAAGTTGTCCACTAAGTGTCGGAGACAGTACGCATGATGTGCTCCGGGAAAGACGCACGAGATTGACTTTAGTAAACCCGAGTGCCGATCCGAGAAGAATGTGTACTGTTTCCAATCCGTACGTCCCTCACATTCTAAAACAGATCGCAGCTTCCAGCAAAACCACTCCCAATTTTCATCATTTTCCGTAGACACAGCTGCAAGTCAACAAATAAGAACACAAATAACTACAAAGGTTTCCAACGTATAAGGGTACATACGTGCCTAAAGAGAGCATGGAAAACAGCATACACGAACAGCTATACCCAGCATTCTAACAAAATGACAACTGTAGCTAATATCAAATTACGTACCAGAAAATGCTAAAGTAAACATCCCATCATCCCCATCCACTGCAATTGCACTTAGCAGACACCCTTTGTGTTTGTTTTTTATATGTGTCCCATCAAGAAAGAGTAGGGGCCTGCAACCCCTCAAAAAACCCAGCCGGCATGCACCTAAACAAACAAAAAGGTGTTGGAAACGTTTGGTTGCCTGCTCAACTTCGCAGTCTATAATACTTCCCGGATTTGACTCCCGAAGTGCATGACAGTACCACGGAAGTTGTGAGAAACTGTCTCTACCTCCACCATTAATTGCCCTTATCGCATTCTCTTTGCCACGCCATGCTTTATGATATTTCACGTCAATCCCATAATCTGTTTGGATATGCTCCCGGATGTCGGATGCCTTATACGCTGGCATAGAACGTATCTTATCTTTGTAGACCTCAGAAATCCAGTTCGCATCGGCTGCTGGATGATCTCTTGATTGCAATAGACTCATAGTACATGTGTGATGTAAATTGCACTTACGAATGCTGAATGATGCATCACGAGCATGGAAGGATGCATAAATACGCCAACCACAGCCTTTGTCGATGCACACCGCAATAATTTTGCTCGAATCATTCTTTTGGTACCTAAAGTGTTTCTGAGTGGCAATAGAATAATTCTTCAGTAACTTTCTAAACTCCTGCGGTCCCTTGAATGTCTGCCCTTCCCCGACAATGCATCTCTGCATTGCAATTAGACTAGTACTTTCGTCGGGAATAAAGATACCATCGGCGCAATCTTCGTTCAATCCAGAACATTCGGCCTCACCCCTACATTACAAATACAATAATAAGAATGAAAATTATATCAGATGTAAGTAGTTCTAATTTTATATGGTAATAGATATTTTCAGAGTAAAGGGAAAAACATGGGTACCCATCTTACTCGACCGAGTATGTCCACGGTGTCTATGGTTACCTACCGTGTCATCCAGGGTATTTAAAAGAACAACTGCATCTATTCACCGCAGCAGGCTACGTGATGCAGTAAATGCCATGGGCTACAGAAATTTCAACGCATCGATCATGGTACACCTACCTAAACCGGATTGCTAGAGGATATTGACAGTGGCGTGTGAAGAAGGAGTGAAAATCGTTAAATACCTTCAAGACGTTATATCCCCACTACATATCTTTACAATCTCTTCAGTGGTTCGTTCTGCACCGCGCTACTACAAAATCGCGGAGGTGGATACTTACTACCTACAAACAACATCGCAACAATATACCACGGTATTGTTGTATGCCAATATCATGAAAGAATTATTACTAACGTAACCTATAAACAATATGTTTTTAGATGTGTTGAACATGACATTATAAGCGCTTACAGACTGCATTCTTACATACTGCATTATAAGTGCTTACAGACTGCATTCTTTCATAAGGAACAATTGTGACTGCATTCTATAACAAAGTTTAATAAAGACTACTTAATTACAAATGATGAGTAACGTACCTGCGTCCAACCGTGCTTCGGAGAGGCACGCTCTGGTGCTCGCTTCTGCACCGTGCAATCATATCCACAAACATTACCTTTAACAAGATATGCATTCTCCACATATTTGCGACATCATCGTCACACAATAACGTCACGTAGCTTTTCTGAATAGGTGCAATATATTGGAGTTTTACCGCCTCAATACTCACTTTATTCCATCTTTTCGATATATTCCGGTAAAGATCCTCCAGCGTGGTGCCCTCTTCTAAACGAATTACATGATGCTCACCTTCGTAGGAACATATAATTAATAATTTCAGACTACTTTGCTCCATGTCCATCGGAACCTAGCAATCCAACCGATGAACGTATGAACTATATTAGGTCGTATGGGCGATTAGATAATCTTACACAAAATACACTAAAATCATATGTTCTTACGGAATTCTAGTAATGTCTTGATCCTCAATAGCAACAAATTACCCATTTCACAAAATAAATATTACCCTTAAACCCTAAATAGCAACAAAATTTATTATCAAAATCACCCAAAATAATACCCAAACATTTTCTTCCAGATAATAATTTTCCAACTAAGATATCGATACAAAAACACACCTGGTACATCTAATTTCGCCGGAGAACAAGAAAGACGGGCCAGGGAACCGGTGACAGCCTTCGGTAGTTCTTCGACCGAATCAATCGACACAAAAACACACTTGGTACATCTAATTTCACCGGAGACCAAGAAATACGGGCCACGGAACCGGTGACAGCCTTCGGTAGTTCTTCGACCGAATCAACCGACCGCCGACGACAGGGAACCGGAACAGGATTCGGAGAGTGCCCTAGGAAATTTTTCAATCGAACCAGACAAGAAGCTTACCTGTGCGGGATGTGGCTTTCGAGCTCACGGAAGAGGACAACGGCTTCACAAGAATTTTTTGCGCGAAAAGAAACAGAATGAAGAGAAATACGATTAGGGAGGAAGAAGAAGGAAGAAGGAAAAATGGGGAAGTGCAGAGCAAGTTTTTATCATTAGGGACTGAATCCCAAATGATAAATGGACAGAGGGATTTTTGCCAAATTGTCCGTTTAAAAAAAACCATGGCCTTGTTTTATATAATGCTGACTTTTCCCGTCATCACTGTAAAGCTAACCAAACATCGTTGAATATTCCCAAATGAGACAAAAGACGCAAAAAAAAATAAATAATAATATAATAATTTAAAAAAAAAAAAAAAAAAACCAAACATATACTCATTAGATTCAATTCTTTTCTTGTCGTTGAAAAAATAACCAAACAAACAAGGAATAGCAAAAGCAAGCTGAGGGCCACACCATTTTGCAGCCACTTCAAGCTTCATTAATACACGTTACGTACCCTTTTACTTTAACAAATTCCCTCAATTCACGCCCCCTCGCCCGCGAAAATTGAAAATCACAAAATTTGACAAATCCAATAATAATAATAATAATGATTAATTTTTAATTGCCAGCCTGTCTTCCACGTCACACTCTGAAATTCTTCCCAGTAAACGTCTGACCAAACTGCCAGTTCGCCGGAACAATATTCCACGACGTTGAGCTCCGGCGGTCGCTGGCCCGGACCCGAAACGACAGCGTTTGGCCAACGAGGACAGCGTTCGACTGCCAATTCTGCCCCCAATTACGGCTGAGTGACAGCCACCGGCCGGTGCCGGACCCCCTCACCATGACGGCGGCGATGTCGCCGGCGCCGGCGACGTTGGTGACGAGTACAAGGTTGAAGTAGCGGAATCCGTTGAGAGTGAAGCGGACGCCGCCCTTCTTCCGGCAGGCGACGCGGCGGAACGACACCGGCACGATTCCGGCGCGGTATTCGGCGATTTTGAGGAACATGGGCATGGCGAGGTCGAAATGGGGCCGGGGCGGGTTGCACCACCCGCCATTGTCGTTGGGCAGGGCGTAGTTGGGCGGGCAGAAGTTTGTGGCGGTGATGAAGATCGACGGGCTGCCCGGATGGCACCAGCGCGGCTCGTCGCGGCACTTGATCTCGAAACACGCGCCGCAGCTGAACCCCTTGTTGAACAGCGCCGTGCTCAGCGCCGCCGTGTTCACGCCGTACCCTTGGCTGTACAGGTTGCCGTACCCACACGCGCCGCCTGCAGCACCGCCGTCTCCGATTGTTAAAACATTATTGTGTATTTTGCATTTTCACCCTCGCGAGTGTGTTTATTTTACTATTTGAAGATTTCCACCTTCATGATATTTATTTATTTTTTAATTTAATAAATTTGATTATTATATAAATAGTAAAATATTTTTGTATTTTTATATGCTACTTATAAAAATAAAGAGATACATACAAAATGAACAAAGAAAACATCATTGACCCGGCTTTACTACTTCAATCCCAATTTTTTGCTGTTTTTACTTTTCATGCAATTTTTAACTGATACTTTTTCGAATAAAGTGAATAATAAGTATTATTTTTTATTTTATAATAAAAAATACAAAAGCTTAATAATTTTTTATTTAAAAAAAATAAAATTAAACATAAATTTAAATAATAAAAAATATAATTTTAATACTTTTTCAGTCTCACATATATTTTGTTACATTTGTATTACGTAGTTATTATTATTATTATTTTTTTCTCTTGACTTGTATGATATATAATAATTAATACAAAAAGCAAATTAAATCGATATCTTATTATGAAACAGAAAGAGTTTATGTTTAAGATTAATAGTAACATATATTGTGTTCATATATTTTTTCAATATTTAATTATTATATTTCATTCAATACTTAATTGCAACAAATATCATTAACTTTATTATATTTTTTTTATTTTCTTTAATTAGCTACTTTTTTGATAAAATATTAATTTTTTTAATTTTCGTATCGAACTTAAATAACTTATGGAAAGAATATTATATTTGCATTATATAAATATAAACTAATATTACATGTGCATTCGCCTACATTAATTCACCACTGAACTGGGATGCGAATTGCTTAATTATTTAAAAGAAAAAGGTAAAGTTGAAAATAAAAAAATTAAGTTACAAAATCTTTTAAATATTTTAAATTAATCAATAATAATAAAATAATTTCTTTTTAAAAAAAAAAAAACACACACACACGATAATATATATATATATAATGTAAATGTATACCCATTGTTCCAGAGGCGTCGCTGCCGCCGTAGAAGGTGGCGTGCGCCGTCTCCCAGCCACCGCCGGTGTAAACTCCGGGGATTCTCGCCTGAGCATGAGTCGCCGCCAGTAGGACCAGCTGCACAGCAATGGCTAAACCCAAAACTCCCATTTTACTTGAAATGTTAAGAGTGAGAAGAATGGGGCGAAGTGGAAGCCATACTTATACTGGAGGAGTGAGAAACAACGCTGTCGGAAAGTTTTCCCTCCCTAAATCAAGGCAGCAATTGTCGGAAACTGTAATTCAACTAACTACTTCTGTAAAGTCTAATTTGCCCTTTTCCTTCTTCTCCGCTTTTTCGTCAACATTTGACCCACAGTGAAGGGCAAAATGGACAAAATATTTGAAGGCTCTTTTAAAGGACCCCACAAAATATGAAAGCTGTTTGCTTCTTTGCTTCAATTGCAAGTCCTACCTAAGATTTTACTCCCATTTATTTATTTGTTACTATCATTTATGTCATTTTAATTTTAAGATTTTTTTTTTTTAATGAAAACATTTTGTATATATTAAATAAAAAAACAAAAATATATATACAATAGAGTTTGTTTGTTTGTTTAGTGTTTTAAATTTAGATATTTTTTTATACGGATAAATATGTTAATAATATATAAAAGAAAATATTCAATCAGTCTCAACTGAAAATATATATTTTATTTTTTTTTTTATTTTACTAAAAAGTATTTTTTTTTATCAGTTTCTCAATGTTACATTTATTTTTTTTGTCGTTTTACTTAACATTAAAAATATATTTATATTTGTATAATTTTTTATACAAATGTTCTTCTATTAGTATTATAAGACATTAATAGAAATTTTTTTGAAATTTTTTTTCTTAATTTGTACTATGTTTTGATATAATAATTAATATTCAAATATCAACACCCAAAAAGTAAATGAGATCTTTAGAACCGAACGAAAGTAGTATTAATTTGTTATTATAATAAACATAACCACACGGTAAGATCAAAATATTAACTTACCATTATATATATACATAAGGTGTAAAAGATAAAAATATCAAAATTATTTTATATACTTTACATAACTAATAAAATATTATTATTTTTTAATATAAGTATAAAATCTCAAATGTATACTTTCATTTGGGATGGAGAAAGTAATAATTTATATTGTATTATTAATTTTTATTAGTGAATAGAGTATATTATATACTACATTTATCATCAAAATTTATATCTATTTGGTTGGGCACGACTTTAAAAAGATAATAAATGAAAATAAAAATTTTTTATAATAAAAATAAAAGTAAAATCAAAGTGGCACTTTTACGAAAAGAGAAACGAAAATAATTTTAAATGACAATTAAAATAAAGAAAGTAAACATAAATTTAAATGACATTGAAATTATATTATATGAAAATGTATTTTGTATTTACTTTTTATTATTATGAAAGTGTATTTCTTTGTTATGGGTTTGTGCGTCCAACAACTTTTTATCTAATATGATTTTCAATATATATATATATATATATAATATTTTGTTTTCTTATATATATAAAAAAAACTTAATATTAAATACAAAATATTATTTTTTATATTTCTCATACCTCATATACAAAAATATTTTGAATTATAAAAATTAAAAAAAGAAAAAAAATCTAAATACTTCATCTGTTCCAATACAATAATTTTGTTTACCATTTTTGTTTGTCCCAAAACAATAGTCTTATTTCTACAAATAACCATATCATCATAAAACTATTCATACTTTTTTATTTTTATTACACAATTGTCACTACTTTTTACACTAATACACTGAGAATGGCAAAAAAGTTTTTTATTCATATTTTTTACCAACTACCAATATAATATCAATATTTTTTAAATCTCGTGTCAAATCCAATTAAGACTATATTTATGGGACGGGGGATGGAGTATATTTTGAATTCTTTTATTACTACGAAAATGTGTTGGTAATTATTTTCAGTATTATGCTTTCGGTGGTAATCCAAATTTGAAAAATATCATTAGGCGGGCAGCTACGTGCGTTAAATTAAAGTTTTTAATTAATTAATTAATTAATAATAAAGTGGGAAATGGATTTTGCATTTAATTAGGCAGTTCCCATTAACATTCAACATATGGGAATGGGATTGGGATTGTTTCAATCACCTTTTAGTAAAGCGTAAACTTAAAATAATACTATTACTTGTAAAATGTACCTATTTATTTCAAACATTGCAGCTAATCTAGTATTATTATTATTATTATTATTATTTCAAATTTGATTATATTTTTACAAAATAAAAATAAAAATAAAAAATAAAAAATCGTAGAGACAATCAAACATATCTAATCAACACTTTAGCGGCAGCATGATGATTAATTAACATGGAGTGAAAGTGACTTCGATATTACCCAAGAAAGCCAATCAATACGTCGCGTTCTTTGAGCGTTTTAGGCTCTGTTTGTTTGGACTTTTCTACGAGTTTTTTTTTTACACCCTGTTGTCAAAATAGAATAGGGTGTGTTCTTTTTGTAAAAAATTTATATATATATATTTTATTCAGATTAATATACTCCTTTGTTTCATTACTAGATATTCATTTATTTTTTGCATGTAGTTTTATAAATATTAGTATTATATTAGGATGTAGTAAAAATAAAGTAGAAATAACTAAAATAATCTTATTAGTATGTGTAATATAAATGTAATGATATTTGTGTATTATATTGTAAGTTGTAAGGGTATTTGTAATGTTAGGTAGATAGTACGATTACTAAAAAAGGAAATAGATATTTTTTTATGGGACGGACTAAAATGAAAAATGAATACTTTGTTACAGAACGGAGGGAGTATTACACATATTTATTTTTTATATTTTTTACACAATTTTTTATATCTCACGTAAAAATATATTATTTTTAAAGTATTTCAAAAAATAACACACCCTTATTTATTTATTTTTTTTACGGATTTTAATGTAATGTATGCTTTTTGTTATTTTATTTATGTTATAATTAAAAAAAATAAAGATTTATTTATTTATTTTTATGACAAATAAAAAAAACTGAACTTATTTTTGATATTATTTAAGTTTTTTTTTTTTTTTAAATATCAAATTAAATATATATATTTTTTATATTAGTATTACACTTAAAATTAATTTGTGACATTTTAAAATTTAAATATTAAAATAAACATGAATTGATGCATAGCACAGGGGGAGTTTATCCATACTGGCCTATCATCATCTACAGGACTTAGCTATTACTTCATTCTTTCATGTTGAAATTATATATTTATTTTTTTGTATGAAATTTAAAAAATAATGGATAAAAGTAGTATAAAAATAAGGCAAAACAGCAAAAAATCCTAATATATTTATTCTTCCAAAACGTTGCAAAAAATTCCCCCTCCGTTAGGATTTAACGGAGGTTGTATAGCACACGCATGAAATGCGATTTTTGGTCCATAGAGTGATATATTTCTGTATAAAATTACGAAAATACCCTAATGACTATTTTTTACAACATCTTCTCTTCCTTGTTCTTCTTCTTTCTTATTCTTCCTCGTTCATTCTTCTTTCTTATTTTTCTTTCTTCTTCTTCTTCCTTGTTCTTCTTATTTCTTACCAAACCCAAAATTACTTTCTTCTGTTTTTATCAAACCCAGAAATTTAAAAATTCAATTTGACATCAAGATTTGAAATCAATTTAAGAAGAAAAAAAGAACTTGCTACTCGTTGCAACCGTGTACGAAAGAAGTAGGGAGAAAAAATAAAGAAGAAAGAAAATTGGAGAAAAATAGATAGAAAAAAAAAATTGGAGAAAAAAAAAACATGATGCCTTCTTTCTCATTTTTCTTTCCCTTATTTCTTTATTCTCTTTCTTTTCTTCTTTCTTTCTTCCCTGCTCCAGCCGCTTCCGCCCGTCATCTTCTTTCTCTTCTTATTCTTTTTCAATTCTTCATTTTTCAAAGAACAATTGGAGATGAAGAAGATGAAAAAAAATTGGGGGAAAAAGAAGAAAAGAAAGAAGCGGGTAGAACTACTATGGCGTGAAAAAGAATTAGAGAAGAATAAAAGAAAAATTGAGGAAAAATAAGAAAAGAAAGAAGTGGAACTGTTATGGCTTGAAAAGGAATTGGAGAAGAAGAAGAGAAAAATTAAGGAAAAAGATGTGTGAAGAAAAATTTGGGGAAGAAAAGAAATATGGAAGAAAGAAGTTGGGGAGAAGAGAAGAAGAAAGAACAGAAGAGAAAGAAACACATAGGCATAACGGTCTGGCAAGGTTAAAATTTAACGCCGTCAATGTGATTTAAAGGGGGGGCGAGTGTGCAACGTTTTACAAACCACGAGTAGGTTTTTTGAAATTTTAGGACCACAGGGGGTTTTCAGCAGATTCGGAAAACCACGGGGGAGTTTTTTTGCTGTTTTGCTTAAAAATAATTATCCTTTATTTTTGGTGTAAAAATAATAATGCAATGATAAAGTAAAAAAAGTGAAATTCATACTTACTAAAAAAAAATTATTACTTTATAATTACACAATAAAAAAATATATGTACTTTATGAGTGAACGAAGAAATTATTATTATTATTATTATTATTATTATTGGAAGCAACAAGTTCTTAGAAAAGACAATCAATTCCTACTTAAATATATATATATATATATATATACTTTAACCAATATTACAAAGAATGTCATAAAAAACTAAATAGATTTAAGAGTAAAAAAGATTATTTTTATCTTTTTATTGTAGTATTCTTTTTATATAAAATATTCACTTTATTCATTTAATATTTTTCAATTGAATAATTTCTCATAAATATATTAAAAAAATATAAATATACACACACATTAATATATTATATACATTATTCAGTCATAAAAAATTAATTATTTAATATAAAATATTATTTTTTATATTATCAACACAGTTATCCATGCAAAACGAAAAAATTAATTCATCTAAAAATGTTGAGTCAAGCTTATTAATATTCTAAATTTTTTATGTAAAAAATTTTTAAAATAAAAAAATTAGTACAAGGAGAGAGTATAATCTATTAAAAATTACGAAAATATTTTAAAATTATGAAAATATAATTTTTAAAATTATTTTTAAAATATTTTATCGGTGAAAGTTATATACTCCCTTCATCCCATAACT